TGTAACTACTCTTTTCGATTATCGAAAATGGAATAGGCCTTTGCGATATATAAAAAATGATCACTTTGAAAGGGTTGTAAGAGATGAAAATTCACAATTTTTTTTTCAGGTATGTCAAAGTGATGGAGAAAAAACGAATATCTTTCACGTATCCACCTCATTTATCTACTTTTCTGAAAATCATGGAAAAAAAAATGGATCTCTTCAGAAGAGATAAAACCTCCTATAATGATAATGAATTGTCTAATTATTGGAGCTCTGTTAATAAAGAAAAAGGAAATAAACTAATCAATGAATTTTTTCAAAGGGCAAAAATGATAGATAATAAATCTATTAAATTTAGTCCTGTGGATGTATTTGAAAATCGAATTAGATTGTCTGATGATAATAGGAAAACAAAATACTTAACTAAAATATATGATCCTTTCTTGAATGGACGCGTTCGTGGAGAAATCCAAAAAGGCTTTTCACCCTTCATTCCAAATGAAACTGACACAACAAACTACATTTTGATAAATAAGATTCATGGTCTCCTTCTTTCTATTAATAGTAATGATCCAGAATTTGAACAGAAAATAGATCAATTTGATAGAAAATTATTATTAAATGAAATTGGTTTTTTTTTTAACTTAATCAGTAAATTTTCGGAAAAATCAGTATCAAGTTTGAATTTTGACGGACTTTATTTATTTCCAGAACATGAACAAGTAAAAATATATTCCGAAGAAAAAAAAACAAAAAGAAAATTATTATTGGACGCAATTCGAACTGATCCTACTAATAATACAATTTTTAATAGAAAACTATGTAGTGAAATAAACGAAATAAGTAAAGAAGTTCCTCGATGGTCATACGACTTAGTCGACGAATTGGCGGTATTGATGGACGCGAGTCCAAAGGAGTCTCAGATTCGTTCCCCAAAAGCTGACCGTATAGTTCTTTTTAATAGTAAAACAGATTCTAATGACAATCAGAATAGTGCTGAACCGGACAGAAATACTGAATTTGCTGTAGTTCATTATTCACGCGAACCAGATTATTGCCGAGACCTAATCAGAGGATCTATGCGCCCTCAAAGGCGTAAAACAGTAACTTATAAACTCTTTCAAGGAACTGCACACTCCCCTCTTTTTTTGGAGATAATGGGCGACTACGCGTTCTTGTTTGGTGATCTTGTCTATGATATCTCCCAATATTTGAAAGAATATTTCAGGAAACCGGGTACTGATAATTCGGAATTTTTGGCGTTTGAGAAAACGATAGAACAGAAAGAGATAGAGGAAAACAAAGACGAGTCTGAAATAAGACTTAGACAAATCGAAGAAGCCTGGGAGAGCATTCTCTATGGTCTAATAATCAGAAGTTTTGTATTACTATTCCAATCAATATTTAGAAAATATATTCTATTACCTTCATTGATAATCACAAAAAATATCATTCGTATACTATTATTTCAAAATCCTGAATGGTCAGAAGATTTGAGGGATTGGAGAAAAGAAGTCCATATTTACTGCACCTATCAGGGCGTTCCAGTATCTCACACCGCGTTGCCAACAAACTGGTTCTGGGAGGGTATTCAGATAAGGATCTTATTCCCTTTTGTTCTGAAACCGTGGCACAATAAGGTACGATCTACTGAAAAAAAAAAAAAATCTACTGAAAAAAAAAAAGATCCACTGAAAGAAAAAAACTTATGGTTTTTAACAGGTTATGGAACACAAGTCGAATCGTACCTTGATGATCATGTCCCAAACCCTTTTTTATTTTTGGGTCCCATTTTAAAAAAAATAAAAAAACAATTGAAAAAAGATTTGAAAAATCGTTTTTTTCTAGTTCTAAAAGTTTTTAATGAAAGAAAAAAGGGGTCTCGAATCGTGTTAGAAGAAATCGAAAATAGGTTCAAAAAAAGAGATGAATTGAGTGAAAGCAAAAAAAATTCAACAATCAGTAAGAGTAATCCAATGATTGAGGAATCGCCCGTTCTAATTCAATCTATGAATTGGACAAATTTCACAGAAAAAAGGATAAAAGATCTTAATGTTAAAACAAAGACAATCTTAAAACAACTAGAAAAAATGACAGAAGAAAAAAAAGAGGGGGTTATAACTTTAGAGATTAATTTGAATTCTACCAAAACTACTTATGATGCTAAAAGATTAGAATTACTAAAAAATAGTTTGAAAATATTAAAAAGAAGAACCGTTCGATTAATCCGTAAATCCTATTTTTTTTTTCAAATTTTAATGGGAAGGATATACATAGAGATCGTTTTCTCTATCACTCGTATTATTATGATGTCTGGACAACGTTTTCTTAATATTATTGAATTAACAGACAAAATTGTAAATGTATTTATTTCCATTTACACTAAAAAAAAAAATGAACAAAGAGTTCATAAAACAAATGAAAGTATAATTCCATTTATGTCGATTATAGACAAATCTTGGAATATTACAGATATGAATTCACAGAATTCTTGTGATGTATCTTCTTTGTCACAAGCCTATGTATTTTTTAAATTATCACAAGTTAGTAATGGATATAAATATAAGTTAAGATCTATTTTTGAATCTCATGGAAGATCTTTGTTTCTTAAGAATGAAATAAAAGATTATTTTTTTAGAATACAAGGAGGAAGATTAAATTCCAAATTAAGACATAAGAACCGTCCCGATTCTATAATGAATCAATGGATAAATTGGTTAAAGGTTCATTATCAATATGCTTTACCTCAGAGCGGATGGTCAAAATTAGTACCACAAAAGTGGAGGAAGAGAATCCATGAACATCGCGTGGCTCAAAAGAAAAATTTAGTTGAATATGATTCATCTGAAAAAAACCAATTCATTTTTTACAAAAAACAAAAAAAACAACAAGTAGATTTATTAGAAAAAAAAAAAAAAATAAAAAAACAATATGGATATGATCTTTTCTCCTATCAATATATAAATTATGCAGATAACAAAAAATCCTATATTTATGGATATAAATCACCATTGCAAGCAAACAAAAACCAAACGATTAATTACAACATACCTAAAAATAAAAAAGAATTATTTGATATAATGGGCGATAGCTTTATCCAAAATTATATAGCAGAAGATGGTATTATAGATATGGATATGGAAACAATGGAAAAAAATCTGAATAGAAAGTATCTAAATTGGATGGGAAAAAGAAAAAAGAATTCCAAAACGAATCAGAAATTATTGACTCCGAGATTTGGGTTCTTTTCAAAATTAAGTGCATATAAGAAGAATCCTTGGATCTTACCAATGAATTTCTTTTTTGTGCAGTTTTATGGAAACAAAAACATTACTGATGTAGCCAAGTTAAAGTTAGAAAAGAAAGAATACGGGAAGCAAGCAGATCTCAAATCATATCTCTCAAACTATTATAGGGACACTCGGTATAGTATAACTAGATACAGGAAGGATCTAAATGGCGAACAAAATTTCTTACTAGATAAATATTTTGGTTTTTATTTGCACTGTAAGACTCCCGTCCAAGAAACACTAATGGATAATATCAACTTATATTGTCTCCTGGTTAGATTGAAAAATCTAAAACAATTTTTCATAATGTCTATAAAAAAGGCAGACCTCGATTTTGAAATTACGGCGCGTCTGCAGATGAAGGACACTTGTTATACAGAATGTAGGGACACAGAGGAATTGAGGGACAACCTAATGTTTTTTATTGAACCTATTCGTATTTCTAGAAAAAACTATGAACAATTTTTTATATATCAAACCATAAGCATATCATTGAGGCACAAACGTAAAATTTTGAAAAGAAACTATGATTTACTTGTTCCTGAAAATCTTTTGTCCACTAGACGCCGTAGAGAATTGAGAATTCTAATTTGTTTGAACCCACAGAATAGAAATACTGTGCATAGAAACACAATAAATGACACTGAGAAAAAACGAAATAATTCTTCTGAAGTTTTGACTCAAAATGAAGATATTGATAGCGATACAAAAAAACTAATGACTTTAAAATTCTTTCTTTGGCCAAATTATCGATTCGAAGATTTAGCTTGTATGAACCGCTATTGGTTTGATACACATAATGGAAGCCGTTTCAGTATATTAAGAATACATATGTATCCTCGATTGAAAATCTAGATTTTTGTTCTATTTATCATTATCATAATATTTCAGATATCTATCTGATATCTGATATGTGAACATATATATATATATATAAATAAATATTTATTTATATATATATATATATGTTCACATATAATTGATAATTGCAATAAATAAAATAAACGCGCACACGCATTGTGGGATTGATACGACTTCAATGATGTCTCCATTAGATAGAAATAAATCAATAGAAAAATGAATAAATCAAAATTGTCTTTTTTTTTTTTATTTTTTAAATACAAGACAATAGAATTTTTTATTTTTTGAATACATAAATATAGTATTTATTCTCTATTTGAATTACATTCCTTAATAAGGAATTTGAAAAAAAAAAATTCAGAATTGTGAAAATTGTTAAATAAATTAAGGTAAAATTTGATATAAAAAATTCAAAATGAGTGTCATTACTATTACTGATCAATAAAAATATCTACCAAAAAGGAGGGGGAAAGAAAAGCTTTCATTTTATGATAAAAAATTCATTTATACCTGTTATTTCACAAAAAAAAAAAGAAGAAGAAAACCCGGGATCGGTTGAATTTCAAGTATTCAACTTCACTAATAAAATACAAAGACTTACTTCACATTTTAAATTACACCCAAAAGACGATTTATCTCAAGGAGGTTTACGTATAATTCTGGGAAAACGGAAACGACTATTGTCGTATTTGTCAAAGAAAAACAAAATACGTTATCAAAATTTAATAAATCGGTTGGGTATTCGGGATTCACAAATTAGGTAATTTAAAGAATCATTTTCAATTATTCGATTTATTAGATACTGAATTTTGATGAACTTTTTTTTTTGAACGATTCATGGAAGAATGAATCGAGGAAAAACCTATGAATATCCCAGCTACAAGAAAAGACCTCATGATAGTAAATATGGGGCCTCAACACCCATCGATGCATGGTGTTCTTCGACTTATTGTTACTCTGGATGGTGAAGATGTTATTGATTGTGAACCAATATTGGGTTATTTACACAGAGGTATGGAAAAAATAGCGGAAAACCGAACAATTATACAATATCTGCCTTATGTAACACGTTGGGATTATTTAGCGACTATGTTCACAGAAGCAATAACTGTAAACGGGCCGGAACAATTGGGAAATATTCAAGTACCTAAAAGAGCCAGCTATATACGAGTAATTATGTTGGAGTTAAGTCGTATAGCTTCTCATCTACTATGGTTGGGACCTTTTATGGCAGATATTGGTGCACAAACCCCTTTTTTCTATATTTTTAGAGAAAGAGAATTAATATATGATCTATTCGAAGCTGCGACAGGTATGAGAATGATGCATAATTTTTTTCGTATTGGGGGGGTAGCCGCTGATCTACCTTATGGTTGGATAGATAAATGTTTTGATTTCTGCAATTATTTTTTAACAAGGGTTATTGAATATCAAAAACTTATTACGCGAAATCCAATTTTTTTAGAACGGGTTGAAGGAGTAGGTTTTGTTGGTAGAGAGGAAGTTATAAATTGGGGGTTATCAGGACCGATGCTTCGGGCTTCCGGAATACAATGGGATCTACGTGAAGTTGATAATTATGAGTGTTACGAGGAATTGGATTGGGAAGTTCAATGGCAAAAAGAAGGAGATTCATTAGCTCGTTATTTAGTTCGAATTGGTGAAATGGTGGAATCCATAAAAATAATTCAACAGGCTTTGGAAGGAATTCCAGGGGGGCCTTATGAAAATTTTGAAATCCGCTGCTTTGATAGAGAAAAGGAGCCAGAATGGAATGATTTTGAATATCGATTCATTGGTAAAAAATCGTCTCCTACTTTTGAATTGCCGAAACAAGAACTTTATGTGAGAGTTGAGGCCCCCAAGGGAGAATTAGGAATTTTTCTAATAGGAGATCAGAATGGTTTTCCTTGGAGATGGAAAATTCGTCCACCTGGTTTTATCAATTTGCAAATTCTTCCTCAATTAGTTAAAAGAATGAAATTGGCTGATATTATGACAATACTAGGTAGCATAGATATCATTATGGGAGAAGTTGATCGTTGAAATGAGAATTGATACAACGGAAGTCCAAGATATAAACTCCTTTTCCGGATTGGAATCTTTCAAAGAGGTCTATGGAATTCTATGGATACTTGTACCAATTTTGATTCTTATCTTGGGAATCACAATAAGTGTACTAGCAATTGTATGGTTAGAAAGAGAAATATCAGCAGGGGTACAACAGCGTATTGGACCTGAATACGCTGGTCCTTTTGGAATTCTTCAAGCTCTAGCAGACGGAACAAAACTACTATTCAAAGAGAATCTTATTCCATCTAGGGGAGATATTCGTTTATTCAGTATTGGACCATCCATATCAATAATATCAATTCTAATAAGTTATTCAGTAATTCCCTTTGGCTATAACTTTGTTTTATCTGATTTCAAGATAGGTGTTTTTTTATGGATTGCTATTTCGAGTATTGCTCCCATTGGACTTCTTATGTCAGGATATGGCTCAAATAATAAATATTCCTTTTTGGGTGGTCTACGAGCTGCTGCTCAATCGATTAGTTATGAAATACCATTAACTCTATGTGTCTTATCAATATCTCTACGTGCGATTCGTTGAAACCAAAAAAGTTATTCGATGCTATTGCTATGCTCCTCTCTTTATAGTACTATATAGGAAAGGAGGCGAATCAATTGAATAGAAACCTTCATTATCTTTATTTTTCTCCGATTGAAGAACTAAATTAGATAGTTATATGAGTGAAATAAAACAGCTTATATTGAATAGAATTTCAGAATACTTTCTTACTTCTAGTTAATAGATAGTATGATGATTTTTAATGGCAGTAAAAATATTGAGTCTCATTTTCTATGTATAAGAATGAAATAAAATTATAAACAGAAGAGGCCATTTAACCCAAGATTGGATAATTTGTCATCCTGTTTTGAAGCGGGCTCTAAAGACCAACCTTATTGAGTTTTAGTTACCATTTTTATGAATTCTCATAGATATATTAAAATAAATAAGGGGGATTAATAAAAAAGAGTGGATGGTTAGAAACACCAAGATACACAAAGGATTAGTAACACAGATTTTGTAAATTATCCAAAAGACAATTTACGCAGAATATAAAAAGAATACTAATTGGGGCTTTAAGTTGGTAGAAAAAATAAAGCAGTACTCCCCACAACTCCGATCCAGAGTATGCTTCCATCCACTCATTAAATAAATGACTATCAGGAACGAAAAAATCCTTTAAAATTTTTTAAGTCCCTTTTTCATAGCACAAAAAAGAAGAATAGGAACGAAAAAAAAAACATAAGAAATCAAAAACGAAAGAGAAATCTATTTTTCGTTTTTGATTTCTTATATCCATATCCATATTCATGGAGATCAAATCATAATTAAGAAACGAATGTTTAATTCTTTTTCGTAATTCAAAATCATGAGGGCTATTGAGAATTATAAAAGAGTATTTTATTGAAGAATTCAGTTATTACTCAACAAATTTTTATTTTTGAGGGATGAGATCAATTCAGAAGTGCCTTACATTGGATCTTTTATTAAACTATATTTCTCTTTCTTATTTCGTTATTTCTAGAACAGACAGAATTGAATTGGTCTAATTCAGAACCGTTCGATCTATTTTCATCTTCTATATCTTAGGGATATAGCAAGAGAGAAATAATTGACCCGGTCCTTAGATTTACTTAAGGCTTTCCAGGAGCCGTATGAGGTGAAAATTTCATGTACGGTTCTGTAATAGAGATGGGAACAGTAATGTTATCACCGACTAGGATTATCTAACAGTTTAAGTACAGTTGATATAGTTGATGCGCAAGCAAAATATGGTTTTTGGGGTTGGAATTTGTGGCGTCAACCTATGGGTTTCATCGTTTTTCTAATTTCTTCGCTAGCAGAATGTGAAAGATTACCTTTTGATTTACCAGAAGCAGAAGAAGAATTAGTAGCTGGTTATCAAACAGAATACTCAGGTATTAGATTTGGTTTATTTTACGTTGCTTCCTATTTAAACCTTTTAATTTCTTCATTATTTGTAACAGTTCTTTACTTGGGCGGTTCAAATATCTCTATTCCGTACATATTTGTTTCTGAATTTTTTGAAATAAATAAAACATACGGAGTTTTTGGAACTACAATTGATCTCTTTATTACATTAGCTAAAAGCTATTTTTTCTTATTTGTTTCTATCATAACAAGATGGTCTTTGCCTAGGCTAAGAATGGATCAATTATTAAATCTTGGATGGAAATTTCTTTTACCTATTTCTCTCGGTAATCTATTATTAACAACTTCGTCTCAATTGTTTTCGCTGTAAAAGATGGATCTTCTATATTCATTACTTGTCTCAAATAAGAGAAAGAAATAAAACAAAACTATTCATAGATATTTACGATATGTTCCTTATGGTAACTGGGTTCATGAATTATGGTCAACAAACAGTCCGAGCTGCAAGGTACATTGGTCAAAGTTTCATGATTATCTTATCTCACGCAAATCGTTTACCTGTAACTATTCAATATCCTTATGAAAAATTAATCACATCAGAACGTTTCCGCGGTCGAATCCATTTTGAATTTGATAAATGCATTGCTTGTGAAGTATGTGTTCGTGTATGTCCTATAGATTTACCCGTTGTTGATTGGAAAATGGAAACGGATATTAGAAAGAAACGATTGCTAAATTACAGTATTGATTTCGGAATCTGTATTTTTTGTGGTAACTGTATTGAGTATTGTCCAACAAATTGTTTATCAATGACTGAAGAATATGAACTTTCAACTTATGATCGTCATGAATTGAATTATAATCAAATTGCTTTGGGCCGTTTACCAATGTCAATAATTGATGATTATACAATTCGAACAATTCAAATCAAATAAAAAAAGACAATTTTTTATAATTTAATAAAATACAATTCTAAAAAAAAAAAGAATATTCTATATATATATAGATTTCTATATATATATAGAATATATATAGAATATATAGAATAATCGAAATAAAATATTTTCAAAAATTGTATAAAAAATGAATCATATAATCGATATTGGATTAGAAATATTCTCTAATTATTAGAGAAATATATTCTTAAATAGAATAGAGAAATATATTATCGAAATTTGAAATATTCTTTAATTTAAAGACTAGTTCAAATGGTTATATATGTTCTATCTACCTTTATACTTTAGTTTTAATATCGTTTCAAACTACTCTTTCGTATAAAGAGTAGTTTAAGTGGAATGACATTGATTATATAACCGTAACTATATCAATTTAAACTACTTAGGTTTTTTCAATGCAAAGAAAAATTTAAGTATATAACAATTTTTTCCTGGTCATATCAATAAGGTCATGAAATTTCGATTTCTTTGTCTTTTTTTTTTTTACATATAATGGATTTGCCTGAAACGCTGCACGATTTTCTTTTAGTCTTTCTGGGATCGGGTCTTATATTAGGAAGTTTAGGAGTAGTATTACTTACCAACCCCATTTTTTCTGCTTTTTCGTTGGGACTGGTTCTTGTTTGTATCTCTTTCTTATATATTTTAGCAAACTCGCATTTTGTAGCTGCATCACAGCTACTTATTTACGTGGGAGCTATTAACATTTTAATCATATTTGCTGTGATGTTCATGAATAGTTCCGAATATTACCAAGATTTTCATCTTTGGACCATAGGGGATGGAATTACTTTGATAGTTTGTACAAGTATTTTTGTTTCACTAATAACTATTATTTCAGATACATCATGGTACGGAATTATTTGGACTACAAGACCAAATCAGATTATTGAACAAGATTTGATAAGTACTAGTCAACAAATTGGAATTCATTTATCAACAGATTTTTTTCTTCCATTTGAACTAATTTCAATAATTCTTTTAGTTTCTTTGATAGGTGCAATTGTCGTAGCTCGCCAGTAAGAAATCTTTAGAGAACTACTAATATAAATCAAGACTATATATATATATGTATTTTTTTTTTTTCAATGTGAAGTGAAAGAGTTTTTAGGTAGAAATTCTTTTTTTTTATTGCCAATATATTCTTTTGTTGCAGACTTGTTATATTCTTTAGTCAATTGAATCTGTTGAATTGTTGTTCATATTGAAATGAATCAAAATTGATAAGGAGTTGGTCAATGATGCTCGAACATGTACTTGTTTTGAGTGCCTATTTATTTTCTATTGGTATCTATGGATTGATCACGAGCCGAAATATGGTTAGAGCCCTTATGTGTCTTGAACTTATATTGAATGCAGTGAATATAAATCTAGTCACTTTTTCTGATTTTTTTGATAATCGCCAATTAAAAGGAAATATTTTTTCAATTTTTGTTATAGCTATTGCAGCCGCTGAAGCGGCTATCGGACTGGCTATTGTTTCCTCAATTGCTCGTAACAGAAAATCAACCCGTATCAATCAATCGAATTTGTTGAATAAATAGCATGAATCATATCATAATTAATAAAAAAGAAACAAAGTAGAATTTCAAATAGTGTAATATTAATCAATTCATTTTAGTATTTATTCGACACAACTTATGATCATATCATGTTTGCATTCCCTAAATCATAAGAAATCAAAGTATCCTGGTCCTCTTCTATTTCCTCTTCTAAATTTATCTAGACGCCTTTTTTATTAACAGTTAACAATATTATCACAAATCATTGATTCATCTGGTATATAAATATACGATTCATTTACGAGTTTACTAGATCGATAATTTTCATTTTTGAACATCAAAAATTACTATAGATATAATGTCACATTCAGTAAAGATTTATGATACATGTATAGGATGTACTCAATGTGTCCGAGCCTGTCCCACTGATGTATTAGAAATGATACCTTGGGATGGATGTAAAGCTAAGCAAATAGCTTCTGCCCCAAGAACAGAGGACTGTGTTGGTTGTAAGAGGTGTGAGTCCGCTTGTCCGACAGATTTCTTAAGTATTCGAGTTTATTTATGGCATGAAACAACTCGAAGTATGGGTCTAGCTTATTGATACGTTTCAAAAAACACCACACGAATACGTTTTTTACTGGCAAAAACTCGTGCTCAAAATCAAATAGAAAAAAATTTTCTATTTGATTTTGAGCACGGGCTTTTCTGGCCCAAGTGTATCTTATTTTTATCACGAATGATTTTCCTTGGTTAACAATAGTTGTTGTTTTCCCAATAGCCGCAGGTTCCTTCATTTTCTTATTTCCTCATAGGGGAAATAAGGTAATTAGGTGGTATAGCATTTGTATATGCTTAATCGATCTCCTTCTAACAACCTATGCATTTTGTTATCATTTCCAATTGGATGATCCACTAATTCAACTGACGGAGAATTCTAAATGGATCAATTTTTTTGATTTTTACTGGAGATTAGGAATAGATGGACTCTCTATAGGACCTATTTTACTGACGGGATTTATAACTACTTTAGCCACTTTAGCGGCTCAGCCGGTTACTCGAGAATACCAATTATTCTATTTCCTGATGTTAGCAATGTATAGCGGTCAAATCGGACCATTTTCTTCTCGAGACATTTTACTTTTTTTCATCATGTGGGAATTGGAATTAATTCCCGTTTATCTACTTTTAT